AGGTAAATATAAGAATGAAAGAGCATAAACAATGTCTAAAGGTGGTTCCAAAGAGCTCTGCAGACTTGAAGAAGCTAGAAAACAACTCAGCGATTGCACTACATTCAATAGAAACGGGACACAAAATCGACTTTGATAAGACTAAGGTTTTACAAAAAGGTTTTGGTTCATATCAAGAAAGATTAACTGCAGAAGCCTTATGTATATGGGTGAATCCCAACAGTTTAAACAGACGTGAAGGTGTGATGTTAGCCGATGCATGGCAAATCCTGACTAATAAACAAAGTAAAATTTGATATGTATGATCAAGTAGTCACATTTAGTCTAATTCCCGACTGTCTACGTCTTCTTATGGAGAGAAAAACAAAGCTATACAAATTAAATTATATTTATAAAAATGTGAATTATTTGTAACTATCCGGTCAAATCTTGATCACAGCTCATATGAGAATAGCATATGTCTTATGACTGCTCCACCCACACACACACATACACACCATTGTACCCTGCATACACACATATATTTTAACAAAAGTAGACAAATTTTGAAAGCCTGAGGTCAAAAAGTTTTTTGATCATAGTTCATACAATTTTTGTTTTGTTTTGTTTAGCATACCTATTGATTGTACTTTTGTATAAACATACAATTCTATTTATTTATGTTTGATACATGTTGATACCTGTTGCATGATTCATGATTGGACAAGAATTTTAAAAACAAGATGTGTCCCTTTATATATAAACTTTGTTATGTTAATTTCGATTAATTTCCCTGAAGAAGTTCGGACCAGATTGCCGAACGAAACGTTGGAATTAATCATTTCAATTTCGCTGAGATTTTACAAATATAACTTTATAAATATCATAAAAGTACGAAGGAGATGGATTATAAGAAAGGGTAGGAGGGTTTTGAATAGAATTCACCTAGGCTAAGCAAGGGAGACACAAAGGTAGAACAAATTTCTTTTGTATACAAAGACTAGGATTGTTCTCTCGAATTCCCATAGCTTCGGCTAAGTGCAAAAGACGGGTTCTGATTCCGTTCGAAAGACTTGATGGAATGCGGTAAATAACTTTGAAGGCACTATTTTGTCCACTTGGTGACCGCTAATCAATCAAATGAGCCATAATAGAACTGCGTATGGATTTTATTTGACCTTTTCCGAACCATGAAGGAAGATGCTCATTATTGCGTTTGTTAAGCCGTCTAGTTGTTCGGCCTATATAGCTTTCTCCACAGGAGCAACTAAATTTATAGATACACATGGAAGTGGCACAGCTAGGTAGCTTATCTTTCACTTGAGCAATGAAAATTGGTCGGCTGGAAAATGACAAAGAGAGGGTGGCGGCAGTATAAGTCCGTTTTATCGCTCTCGATAATCTCTGATGTAAGACTTCACTAGCCACGTCCCATTAAATTGCAGTTTGATGGACAGTTGTTTCTTTTTAACTGTTATCGGTTTCTCTTTATTGTACTTGGCATTCATGTGTCTCCTGACAAATCTACTAGTATAACCCATTTCGACCAAAGTATTTTGAATGTATTCTAGCTCATTCTTTAGAGAGTCATCTGTACAGATGCGTCTTGCTCTATTCGTCAGGCATCTGACCAAATTGATTTTGTATCGGATTGGTACATAACTGAGGAAATGTGTATATTGTCCTACAGATGTAGGTTTTCTATAGACTTCTCTCTTCAGTGAACCATCCTCTCTTCTGCTCAATTGGACGTCAAGAAAATGTAGTCCAACATCATATCCTTCTTCAAAAGTGAAGATAAGCGATGGATGTGCATCGTTAAACTTTTTTAACATTCCATTCTTGTCAGCTTTCACATCGAGAATAATAAAGGTATCATCAACATAACGAAAATAGGAATCAGCTTTTTCTATTACTTTTTTCAATGGACCATTTTCAATCTTGGTAAGAAAGAAATCTGCTAAACTTGGCCCCAACGGAGAACCCATGGCAATACCGTCGATTTGCCTGTAGTAAAGGTTGTTAAATATGAAATGTACATTCATAGTACATCTTAAAAGCAACTTTTTCAGACTACTAACCGGTATTCTGATGTCGATCTGTGTCAATGTAGTTGAAGATTGAACGATCAATTCATGGTTGTTTGCTCAAAACCAACTTCCCCAATTTTCGCGGAGGCATCAATACGACAGTCATCGTCTCATCGGTCGCTGTTCAGAAAGAAGTCAGTATAAAACCGTCAGAAGTAATCTTGTGATTTATTATTGTAATATTTGTTCACAGACCTTAGTGGAATTATTTTTTATATGTTGGTGTTACAGTGAAGAATCCTCGAGTCGCCAATTGGTGTTTTGGTTTTTGCGTTCGTTATTACTAAGCGTTTCTGAGAAACTTCAAGGAACAGCGTGAGCCCGAGTGCAGTAAGAGCTGGGCAATAACGGTTTACGAGACGTGGCTGACAATCTGTTTTTCTAGTATCTGTTGGCATATGAATTCCACAGTCTCCATAAGTGGTACATTGGTAAACAGAGATGCCACATCGAGGGAAAGCATTTGCTTCCCATTTACATTAATATCATCCACGTTAGCAATAAATTAGAAAAAGTCTTTAACACTATGACTTACTACCATCTTGTGTAATGGTTGGAGGAGTTCACCTAGCCAATTTGTCACTCCATGGTAGGTAGAGTTTGATATATCCAGGACTGGACGAGAGGAAGTCCTGGTTTATGTATTTTGAGCAGACCGTACAGACGTGAAGTATTAATTCCAGTAGGTTTAAGACGGTTATATGCTGCCTCTGAGATTATTCCTCTTTTTCTCAGTTCCCTAAGCGTGTTGGTTAACTGCTTTTCAGCCTTTCCGTCCAGATCTATTGGGTTAATAAGGTTTTGTAACTTCGTTTCATCATTTAGAAGCGAATTCATTTTGTCTACATAATCACACTTATTCATCAATACTACTCCGCCTCCTTTATCAGGTCTACTGATTATAATGCTTTCATCGCTCCTTAACTTTCTTAGGGCTTCTCGATGCTGTTTAGTCAGTAAACTCTTACTAGAATGACTATTGTTTCTATACTGTTGACAGCTGTCGACTAGTGTTGTTTTGAACCTAGCGACTTCATCGTCTGATGTTGGGGTTAAATCTTTTGTTTGTAGGAGGAAGTTTTCAAACTGGATGTTGGTATCGAGTTGGTTGACCTTATATCCTTGGTCCCAAAATCTAGGACCCAATGATAATGCCTCTAACTGTAATTTATCTAGTGTTACACTTGAAAAATTATGGACATACCGATACGGGTCTGAAGGGAATGAAGGGGAATCCTTTTCAGGATTTTGACTGTCTAATGATTTGACAAGTTTCGTTCTCCTTTCCTCTGCTCTGTTTTGACTAACACTGTCGACATACTCAATGAAATCAAATAATAAATCCTGAGGAAGTTCATCGACTGCATATTTCTTCTGTGATAAATTTCTTTCTATATCCGAAATGTACATTTTTAAAGAGTCCAATTAGTTAAGTGCATAACGTTTCAGTGATCGGGAATTTGGATAAACTTTATTACGACGAAGAGTTTCCAGTAAATTTATTAACAATATTTTGTTATTATTATAATCATCGCTATTAACTTCATTCAAAACATTTACCACATTATTATTATTATTGTGATTATTATTATGATTACTATTATTATTTGATCCACAAAATCACCGTCATTGGTTAAAATTTTATATATATATAAGTCTATGTAAATTAGAGTAAAGCCTGAAGAAGATCTAATTGAAAACAATATTGTTCGCTTATATGTCTTGTTCTAACATCCAAGAATGGAATTTTGTTATCTAATTATTTTCCTCTTAAAAATAAAATGTCTTCATAAATTTTGCTTATTAATTTCTGGGTGTATTTTAAATTATTTCTTCTAATTATTACAAACATATCGTCATTGTGAAGTACTCAGATTTTGATTTTTATTGAATGTAGGACTATTAAATGTAATCTTTGACTAACAACTTTAGCTGATATTCCTGAGATAGGCGATGCTACTGGTGTTTCCTATATCTATTCGTACATCTGATTATTGAATCGGAGATAAATTGTAAGGCATAAGTGTATGAGCTCCAAAGAAGTTGAACATTGCGTTTTTCGTGTTTTTACGGATGGACTTATTCTGTGGACTTATCCTGTGCGTACTCCGCAATCCGTCGTGTTGGCTGAAATTTCGCTTGTTAAATTTTGTCAATAGACTTTATTAAAATTAAAATTATATTATATGTTTTCTGGATTGATAGGAATTCCCATTTCCTAACTAGTCATGTTGATGTCCACGTCATATGGTCTGACTGTAGCACATTATTAGCATATATATAACGCCCGGTAAGTTCAAATCAGGTGACGCTTTCGCACGTGTTTTCGCTTATATCCATTTATTGGTTACTAATAATTGATCTTTAATAACGATGGTTCAAAATTCTAAAAAGCGTGTTCATGTGAACAACTTTAATTTATAAAATAACACCAGCTTGTCTAATAACACATTACCACCCCACATTATTAGTAGTTCACCCAACATAAAAGCCTCGAACATAACTCTGACCCCTGTAATACAGGTGGAAGTTCTGTCTGAAAAAGTAGAGCTCTCTTACTTAACGTGCGTAATTAAAGAATTGCAGCTACAGATAGATGAATTAAAAACGAAATTAGGTTCACTAGAAATTATGCCCGAAAATATCTCACGTATACTAATAAGTTATTTCATACAAATTTACATGAAAATGCATGCCTTCTTTTACAGGCACGATCAAGTAAGATATAGTCTCAAATCTCAGATTGTCTACAAGTTAATCATATTTCAACTGTTAAATATTTGATACATATAATACACTCATTTTCTGAACTAGGCCGTATAGTTATTGAATTGTACAATTGTCCTCCAGGTTGAGCGGCAAAATCGACTTCGTTTCGTTTTCATCCCGTGGTTGTCGGCATTCGATAACCAACCAATATTGGGGTAAGTACAACTTTTACAAGGGATTCAAAGCTGTTTTGGAAAAGTAAAAGTGTTAAGATGAATCATTAAACTGTAATGAAATAATATCAGTAAAAAGTTTGAGCATTGTGGATTAGATCAAATAAAGTATAATTATATTTTAATAGTTTACACACAATGATAAGTCTTGTTATTGGTAATATTTCGAGCAAAATTGCTGCCCGTGTTCACACCACTGTTGGAATTGTTTTATTCACACATTTATGATTTGTACTCATATATATAGTTCATTATTATTATTTTTTTGTTCATTCATGTTTTGTGTGTGCATATGTGTGATAGCGAAAACTCCGAATGACAGACAAGTAACTAAAGCCAATTGGATTGTAAACTTGTCAGACAGAAAGTTAACAGAAGCAGAAGAAAGTGTACTGATGAAAGGGATGAACTTCAATATCAGCAACAAAAGATTAAAACCTGAAGACATCATACCTGTAATTGAAACAGCACTCGAAGGATATGACAAGCAAAAAGCTGAACTGGTACGAGCACAATGTGCACTTACCTTAAAAAAGCAAAAAGCAGAAAAACCAAATATAACGAAAGAGGAACTAAAAGCACTTCAAGACATAAAAGCAGACAAATCCATTGTCATTACTCAAGCAGACAAAGGAAACACAACAGTATTACTTAACAAAACAACATATAATCAAAAGATGAATGAACATCTACAATCTGGACCCTATACCATAATGACTAAATCAGCTGAAACGATCATCAACAAAACAATGAAAGAAACAGCAAAGGTAGTAAGACAAATGAATGAAGTAATTGGTAAGTCAAAATGGTTTGAAATTATGCCAAAATCCTGTAATGTACCTAGGATATATGGTAAGATAAAATTGCATAAAGAGGGATATCCAATAAGACCGATTGTAGACTTCAGAAACACACCAACGTATATGCTATCCAGATTTCTCTCGACAATACTAAGACCGACAAGAGACAACTCAAAAGCTAGAATATATATATTTTTTGGCCTGAAAAGACAGAACACAGTTATCCGTAGAAGAAATAATAAAAGGGGTAGAATTCTGTCTGACAACGACATATTTCACATTCGAAGGAAAAATATACCAACAAAATGAGGGAGTAGCCATGGGATCGCCTATCTCACCAATTATAGCTGACATATTCATGGATTATTGGGAGGAGAATGCCCTTAAACCATTCAGATCATCACTAAAATGTTGGTGGAGATATGTAGACGACACACTAGTAATAGTGAAAAAAACGATACTGAGAAACTTTTATCACACATAAACAGACACGTCGACTCAATAAAATTTACTATGGAACTAGAGAATGAAATTGGAGAACTGCCCATGTTAGATTGCAAACTACAAAGAATGACAGATGGTAGCATAAAAACAACGATATATAGAAAAGCCACACATTCTGGAAGATTCCTTGATTATTACTCAGCTCATCCACTCTCGGTAAAACGAGGACTAATACAAGGTCTTGCAGATAGAATACGTAGACTTACAACAGCACCAGAGGACCAGCGTAAAGAAATAAAAGTCCTATTCAAAATGCTACTCGAAAACAACTACCCTAGAGAATTTATAAAAGATAATATAAAAAAGAGAAAAAAGAGGGTAAAACCGGAGAATAACAAGAAGGAAGAATGGAGAAAAACAGTCGCAATACCATATAAAAATGGTACATCAGAGGCAATACAAAGAAGCCTCAAAAATATCGGCATTCGAACAACCTTTAAACCTACAAATCTAATCAAAAATAAAATAAATCAACTGAAAGATCCCATAAAAATGATGGATAAAAACAATTTGATTTATAAAATATCTTGTGCTGACTGTCCAACTAAATATGTGGGGCAAACGTCCAGATCACTCAAAATAAGAGTGAATGAACATAAACGCCTAACTAAAGGTCAACCAACAGGGACACAAGCTTACAAAAATCTTGAAAAAAATTCATCTATAGCTGCACATGCATGGGACAAAAACCACAATATCGATTGGGACAATGTGTGTATTCTAAAAACAAACATGAACAAATGGAAAGAAAGACTCATAACAGAATCGATATTCATTAAAGTCACACCGGATTCATGTAACAAGGGTGACTCAGTACAACTATCAACAACTTGGAATATAATTCTAAATACAAACACATGAATGAATGTGGAGTATAATTCTGAACACACATATGCACACACAAAACATGAATGAACAAAAAAATAATAATAATGAACTATATATATGAGTACAAATCATAAATGTGTGAATAAAACAATTCCAACAGTGGTGTGAACACGGGCAGAAATTTTGCTCGAAATATTACCAATAACAAAACTTATCATTGTGTGTAAACTATTAAAATATAATTATAATTTATTTGTTATGAAATAGGTAAATGCAAGTATCATTAATAAATGCATGAATAAAGGAAACTCCTTAGGCTGACAACGTTCATTTGCAATGTATAATGCTACACGTATATCTCGTACTATCATGATGTCCACTTTTGGTTTTAATACATTTATCCTCAGTTGTGCCAGTTGTTTTCGTTTTATACCTTTTTGTGCATTTAGTGCACAACCGTACCCTTCAGAGAGTAGGAATATAATAAGTCATAAAGAGCTGTAAAATGTTAGTTTTAATGGAGTAAAATGAGGATCAAGTAAAGACGTTATTAGAAAATAGATGAGATAAGACATTTTGAAGTGGTATTTAAAGATCTGACAATGGATAGCAAGTTAATTTATAAGATGCCCCATAAATCTGTGCAGATCCCACATGGTCGCATCTCAACAATAGGCTGAGCGAATGGTATATATTTAAAGGTAGAAGCATGATCTGTCAAGGCGTTCATTATTATCTTTTTCAAGATAAAGATCTAAGCCCTCATAAAAATCAGAAATATCTCGAGCCTTTAATTTGTATATTGCTGTTCCTGCAGAATGGGGCGATTCACCTTAGTGACCACCACCATATCTACTGATCAGCTAACGCCACCCTCCCTCCTTTTTTGATGTTAAGCTCTGAGACTATGATTATTATGGCTACCGCAAATATACTGCTTGGTACCAGACATGTTCGTACCCCATATTCCATCTCCCTAGCTTTCTTAATGAGTGCTTCCAATAGGTCTCCACATACATCTTTATGAACATATGTATGCATGCGTCCTAATGAACAGATTACTTTACAAGAAGTTAAAACCTTAAAGAATAAAAAGAATAGGTTTTGTGAATAGTGAAGCAAGATTCAGCAGAACAATATAGTTAGGATTCAATGTAGGTAGTATGAACTGAAGGTAAGGTCGGTTGGCAGGACTTAGTGTACTAAATTATCATGACAGTCTTGTATATAGTAGACATCTGACATTGCAAAGTAACGTGTCTAAACATATTATAAAAGATATTAACAGAAATACTACATAGCTTTAACATTATGAATTTTAGAAAATTATATGAGAATGGGTAACTGTTGACTGAAGATAATCAATTCAACTCAAAAATAGTGCAGTGTATTATGCTAATAATATAAGTATATTCGTAAAATATTAAAAGATATGGTTGCTAATGTAATGGTTTTCGGAAATAATTATACTGACGAACTTATTGAAGATTACAGTGAAGAGGAAACCAGTGAGTTAGTTAAACGGCTACTGTGCAGTTAGTAGTTAAAACGTCTTTTTTAAAAAGTAAAGGGTAGAAGAGTTTTGAGCACCGGAGCAAATTAAGTCATATTCTACTGAGTAGAGTGTAGTGAATAGTGGTACGATTAGGGATAAGGGTAGGTTGAATGAACTTGGGGAAAATGGTTGGTTGGTTGAGTTTGTTATTGCTAGGTATTCCTGGCCACTTTTCATATGGCATGCTTTAGACATTACAAAGTACCAGTTTGCTTATATTATGGGAGAACTATCACAACTAATTTGGGATTATACATCCAGGAAAATTATGGAGAGTCTTATGAGTTTATAAACCCGATTGAAGAAATATCGATAGGATCTCTAGTAAGCTGAATAACCGGACCTTAGGTAAAGGCATGTGGGAGAGATTAGGTTGGTTTTATCACGTTATAGATGAGGTACGGTTGCCGGGGCAAATGAGTTTCCTCAAATTGGGGGTATTGCACTGGGGTCTGTAGTACTAAAGCTAGTTGAGCGGCCCATATGGATAAAGTATGGATAAGTAGACCGAAGCTCTTTTGTTGATAGGAACTCGTTAAGTAGACGCTGGAATTCAGTAGGAGATCGGCAACTACGTACAGTAAGTGGAAGTTCGTTCCATAATGCACTGTACTGTATTTTAAAGAAACGTGATCGCAGTTTTGTCCGGAACCGGCTTATGGATAGAGTATTTTCATGATTCCTAAGAGTATATATGGGTAAATTGTTGAAAGCTATTGGATTACTGCTTTTGGTGTAGCCGTGTAAAAGGCGAAAGAGGAATGTAAGGTTGAGTTTCAGGCGCCTTAACCAAAGTGGCTGAAGTCCATACATTTTGCACCTATCAGCGTAAGTCAGTCCTTCATGTTTGTATAATAGGCGTCGAGTAAAACTTCGCTGAATATTTTCAATACGAACCCTGTCATACCCATGCATGAAACCGAAGACAATTGTGCAGTATTCAAGTACTGGACGAACCATGACTTTGTATAAAAGGACTTTAGCCTCATTTGTGTACATTTTTCGATGTAACAAGCCTGTGAGTCTTCGGCATTTAGAAACAAGTGCTTTTGCGTACTGACTGAATGTTAAGTTTTGTGAGTAGGTAACTCCCAGGTCTTTTATGGAACTGAGGGTTTGGAGAAAAGAGTTACCTAGGTGTAACCTGAAATTCGGATGGGAGTTATTGAAATATAGGACACCACATTTATCAGAATTGAATGGCAGTTGCCAGTCATTGCTCCAGTTATGTAACCTATCCAGATCATCTTGAATATGTGTGAATCCTTCGTTTAGTGTAGAATGGGGGAAGCTGTATACAATCTTTAAGTCGTCAGCAAAGAGGTATGGGGTACCATGCTTGATTACGCTGCAGATGTCGTTAATGTAGATTACGAAAAGCAGTGGACCTAGTACACTACCCTGAATCACTCCACTTCTTATAGGTCTGGGTGACGAGTAATTATTTGCAAATTTCACAACTTGGGAACGATCTTCCAAGAAAGAAATGAGCCAGGATAACAAGGGGTCTTGGAACCCGTACGACTTTAGCTTAAGGATTAGTCTCTTGTGTGGGACTTTATCAAAGGCTTTTTTGAAGTCAAAGAAGAGAGTTGTGACATACAAACCATGATCACGCTTAGCGGTAACATCATCAAAGTAGTCAAGTAGGCAGGTGGAGCATGATCGATTTTTCAAGAAGCCGTGTTGTGCTGGAGTAAACACTTTGTGAAGGTGGAGGTATGAAGCAATATCTTGCCCTATAACCTTTTCCATAACCCTGGAAACTACTGACGTGATATTAATCGGTCGGTAGTTTTCGATGTTAGAAGTTGGTCCTTGTTTGTGCCTAGGGGTTATAAACGACAGTTTCCAGCATTCTGGGTAACTGCCATTATTTAAGGACAGAATGAAAAACTTTAGTAGGATAATGGGTATATCCTCACCACCTCTTTTCAACAAGATAGATGGAATTCCATCGGGCCCAGCGTTATATGATGTCCGGAGGGATGCTATAGCGGAGGAAATCTTTTGTTGGGTGAATGTTATATTACCCAAAAAGTGATTTGGTATTGTCGGAACTTCAAGACTATCTACTGTTTCTTCGATAGTATAGTAGCTAGAAAAGTGGGAGCTGAATAACTCACATATCTCCTGCGGGTCTTCGTGTAGTTTTTCTCCATCTAGTAATAAGTTAGGGATACTTATTCTGTTGTTGTTGATTCGTGACTTAATTAGTTTAACTAATGCCTCTGTATTATCAGGTCGTGAGTGGAGGATGCGTTCTAGTTTGATGGACTCAGATAACTGATTAGATTTGTATGAATCATAAGTTTGCTTGAGTGTAATGAGTGATGAAAAGTCATTATATCTGTAGAATTGCCTAGCATGCTTACGCAGTCGGTTTCGAATCTTTACGGGGATGAAGTCGGGCTGTTTAGGCCTCGTTTTCACAAGTCTTACTGGAGCGATGAAGTCATGTGCAAATCCTAGGTTCTCATAGAGTAATTTGTTTGTCTCTATAGCCGAGCTGCACGTAAAGTATGGCTCCCAGTCTAGGGTGCGTATGTATGGTTTCAGTTCATCCCACTGAGCATGTCTGTAACCCCTGAGTAATACTTTGTTGGCGTTTATTGTCGAACTCATGCTAGTGCAAATATTAAATGTACCGAATACTACTCTGTGGTCGCTGCCAGGAAACTCTTTACCTACTCGAAGGGTAGTGGGGATGATACCATTAGTGAAAACTAGATCTAAAATCTTAGATAGCCTGGTAGGATACTGTACGTGTTGTTGCCATTCTTTTGTTTCTATTATGTTGATAAATTCATTGTACCGTTTTGGTGAGGAAAGTGGTTGCCAGACTACATCGGGCATATTAAAGTCCCCACATATAATTTTAGCCGTGTGAGGTAGTGAAGTGGCGTAAGCGAACGTGCTAGCAAGCTTCATATTACCTTCAACAGTTGAGCACGGGGGTGATAGATGCAACCTATAAGATAGGAACTGGAGTGAGACAGTCTTAGAATAGCCCAC